ACAAATCTGCGGCAACTGTGTGATTCTATCATGTCAATATGGACCAAACTCCCTGAGGAATGCTTCCAGCACCTTGTTGAATCTATGCCACGAAGAATTGAGGCAGTTCTGAAGGCAAAAGGGGGTCCAACCCGTTACTTGCATGGGGTACCTAATAAAGTGGCCGGTGAGTGTACATGATAGTTTTTTGTATCATACTGTAAAATACAATGAGGTAAAATCATACGTTTTTTAAGCCTTTTTGTTTTTTAAATCTCAAAACACGAACATGACATACATGCTATAGATTTGTTTATAAAAGCTAATGTTCTGGTTGAATGACTGTGTTTTACAGTCATTCAACCAGAACATAAGCAATATTATCTGGGTGGGCCCCATATGAAGTCGCCACTGCTTCCGTAGACAACGACCTTAAATGTGCCCCATACATACACACTTCATCATTGTATCATTCTTCACCTTCACTAGACATGGATATATATTATATTCTGCTGTAAAAATTTTCATATTGGGCTACCTTCAGTTTAACAGCCCCCCTCCTCACCCACCCTCTCCATTCATCTCCTGGTCGCAATCTTTACTCACTGTAGCAGCAGCAACAGTCCACCTCTCCCTCTTCGGTTCTTTGACAGAACGTGTTTATTTTGGGAAGTTTATTCTGTTCTTCCAGCAGCTCTTCTTACTCGTTCTTTCCTGAAATCCGCTAAAGTACCTCATCTTGGTATCCATTGTCGCTAACACATTGTACGTAACGGTTATGACTTTAATCTACGCACTGGATTACCCATAATTCCAAGTCGTATTGTAAAAAATGAAATACCGAAATACATCTTTCCTTTAAGATCTTTTTGCAGTTTGAAACATATACGAGTGTATTTTTTACCAACTGTCTAATGAACTATACACAGCTATTAACATAGTAATTAAAAGTACCACTGTCCGCTTTGCTACTGGTGTCGTGTTTAAATGGCTCACCATCATGTTGAAATCTGGCATGTGTTGGGGTATAAATAAGGTCTGTTCAGTCAACCTAGTATCAGGTGGGTTATTACAAGAATTTTTTGCACCATTACTTCCGCAAAGAGACGTCCTAGTCCACAATTGTGTAGGGGGCCAACCAGGTGTCAGTGATGGGGCCCCTAAGAGGTTGGGGGCCCCTAAACACCTGCATACTCTGCTTACCTCTGCTTATGCCATTGGTGGTTCCGTCAGTTAATACTTAAAGCTTCAGTTGTGTTTAGATTTACTTTGTTAAGACAGCCATTCTTTATATATTGATGATGTAAAGTGTGTTTTTTTTTCAGGTTATTTAAAGGGGGGTGAAACATTGCGTCTGCTCCACAGCCACAGTGATGCCTGTCTCACTATTCCTTCTTCAGAGCATGAGGATGAGCTGCAAAGGTCCTTTGAAATTGCCTTTAAAAAATCAAGAAGAAAAAAAACAAACATTGTATGACTCTCTGACCATGCCTCTGTTTTTCTAGAGTAATGCATTATGAGATTGGATCGGTGTCTGGTCATGCACGGTCCCTCTGGAGGCTGGAAATTCTACGAGTTGCGTAAGTGAACACAAGATTTGAGGATTCTTTAACCTTTAAAAGAAACATATTTAGCTTTGCTTGTGAAAATGCTATGAGGAAGTTGTATCAGTTTGTTATCAACATTGTGTAGGTGGAGTGGGAGGCATACCTGCTGGGGTGAGCCTTTTAGATTGTGCCATGTAACAACTGGAAGGTACCTGGGTCTTACAGAGGAAAAAGGCTTGCACCTAGTCGATCGGGATAAAGCTGATATCAACACAACCTCTTTCTGCTTCAGATCATCAAAGGTCAGCATGATATTTAGAAGCACATTGGATGTTTCTAAGACAGTTTCACTGTTAGGCATCAATTATTTTCCACTTGAAAGTGTACGACAAACATATATAAATTATTAAAAGTAGCACATTCCAGTAGATGACTTTAAAATACTGATAAAATACAGTTTATAGTTTATGACTAATTGATCAGAATTGTAATTGTGGGCAGGAAAAACTTGATGCTGGCAAAAAGACAGATACTGATGGTATGGGAATCCCAGAAATCAAGTATGGAGACTCCATGTGTTATGTTCAGCATCTGGACTCAGGACTGTGGTTAACCTATCAAGCTGCAGATGCCAAGTGCCGCTTGGGTGGGAATCTGCGCAAGGTAAAACATTAGACTCCTTGGTTTCCTTTTCTTTTACTGCACTTTTGAATGGATTCTAACTACAAATGATTTGTTTTCAGGCTATTTTGCACAGCGAGGGTCACATGGATGATGGGCTGACACTGTCTCGATCTCAGAGAGAAGAATCTCACACTGCCAGACTCATCCGGAATGCTATCTTTTTGTTTACTCACTTCATAAGGTACTTGGTGCTTGGTCAAGTCATTCGGTTTTATAAGAATATAGAGCACAGAAAGTCATTCTTCATTGAGGTTTGAAGCTGTTCAGTGGATTAAGTTATTTTTTATGAATTGACTGCAGGTTTAGAAAGGAGTATGCTTATTGGATTAAATTAAGTAGGTATGATTTTCTGGTATGACGGTACAGGCATGCTTGGATGACCACATTTCCTTCCATGAGCTTTATCCCATCTCCTATCACATTTTTCAACTGTGTACAACAAAGTTAAAGTCATGAGTAAAAAGAATTGTAAATTTTAGATTCCTTTTACCTTAGTAAATAATAAAATTAGTCTTGTAAATTTCAGTACCAAATCTAATCAAACAATTAATGAAAAACTCAAAGGGTCACAAAAGAATCCCTTTAAAGCACTGCAGGTCTGCTACATGAGCTTGAGCTTATGTAGGAGACAATGATTTAAAGCGCGTGAGAAAGTCCACCTCTGATTGGCTGATATTCAATTAAGATGTTGTTTCATGATTGTTTATTCTCTAAAACCCTCTAAAAGTGGTACAAGACTGATCAACAGTTATTCTAAATGCCTAATAGCAATTGTTTCCTCAGAGGTTGTTGAAGTCGCTTATTATGGGGGATTGATTTTTCGTACACAGGTTGATTTCTTTGATGATCTGAAACAATATGACAAATGTAATAAAGCCAAAACATCTGGGCACTTTCTGCAGTACTGTAAAACATGATTAATACACCTTATTTAAAATATAGAAACTAAAATGTTTCGTCTAATTTTTATCAAATTTTCTTTTAGAAGATGAATGGATGTACCTTTAAAATACGTCTTCCCTTTCCTTTAGGAACCTCGATGGTTTTAATCATGATGGAAACCTTTCCTCAGTCAGCCTGCCAATGAAGACAGTGATATGCAGCCTCCAGGATCTCATCAAGTACTTCCAGACACCATGTGGGGAACAAAGCCATGAAGAAAAGCAGAAAAAGATTGCTGCTCTTAAGAAACGCCAGAACATGTTTAAAGAAGAGGTAGGAATGGTGGAAATCAAACTGCGTTTGCTGTTTTGTTTATCAGAAGAACCAAAAATTGCCCTCTTTGTTCTTCTCAGGGTGTGATAGATCTGGTCTTGGACTGCATTGATCATCTACACCATTATAGTAGTGCCTCTTATTTTGCCGAGGCTACTCAGTGTGATGCTGGAGAGCGGTGGGAGGCCGTAATCAGCCTGTTCTATGAGTTACTGGGTAAGAATACCAAAATATTCATTCATTAACAGCTGGTTTGACTTAAATGTTTCTAAGCCAACCAGATAACCTTTTTTCTGCCCGGTATGCACATGTCTCTCAATAGTTCTCTCAGAATGTCTGACTTTATTTTATCTTTAGCTTCTTTGATCCGGGGAAACCGTGGAAACTGTGCTCATTTCGCAAGCTCTGTTGACTGGCTGATAGGCAGACTAGACCATCTAGAAGCATCTTCCGGTTGGTTTGATACTAATGTTTCAATTTTCACAAATTGTTCTTAATAGGAATGAAAATTACCTATTTAGATTGTGCCATTGCAAAGGACTGATTTTCCAACTCCTACCATTTTCTTCTGTCCTTTGTATATTATTTTATTATAAAAACACAGATTATAAAACAGCAGTTCTATGATATACCAATGTTCTTTTCCATTTCCAGGAGTCTTGGAAGTTCTGCACTGTGTTCTAGTAGAGAGTCCCGAGGCCATAACTGTCATAAAAAGTGGACACGTTCAGGCTATTATCTCTTTTCTGGAAAAGCATGGACGGAACCACAAGGTATACAACTTTATGTTTTCTTTTTGCTTTGAATAAAAATCAAGATTATTTGTCTTAGAAAAAAGAGAAGCTGTTAAGTTATTGTATAATCATGTTTAATTAGGTAGTTAAATGTCACACTGTAAAAAAAATGATTCAATTAAAACGCATTGTTATAGATCTGCAGCAAGTGTTGCCGTTGTTTGAATGATACTGGAAAAGAAGCTCCACTAAAACCCTGACTGAAAGGGTCTACTTTGGTCACATGAGGGGGGATTTTAAATATAATTTAAACAGCCTTAAAACTTAAAATTGGATCATCAATGAACAATTCAACAGAGTTATGATGTAAGCCAAATATCAAAAGCCTAGAGATAAGAAACCCGAAGGGTAAACTGAGGGGATCATAATGCAGGAGCCACAACCATGGATGGTCTATGAAGAATACATGCAAGAGGAAAGATCGTACATCCTTCTTTCTATAAGATCTCACCCTGTGAAAAACCATGTGAGTGCTGTCTTTTTGGGGAAAAAAGCAGTGTTACAAAAGCACATGTGCTAAATGCAGTTGCATTGATAATCTTATTGAAATACTTATTCTAAAATTTAGTAGGGCCGAAAAAATTAATTAAATTAATCGTGATTAAAGGATTATTTCAATAATCGCAACTACTTTAGTGGATTAATCAAGTTTTAGAGTAAAGAGACTCTGAAACACGTCTTCAGCTGACAGAGCAACCACTTTGAGAAGTAATTATACCAAAATTGTAAAAAATATATACATAAATATTTAGCATTTTACATGTAAAAAACTTTTTAATCTTTCAATATGCTCCATCCAGAACTCCACAAGGGGAAGCGTTTTATTTTCACCTGGTTTAATTCTGTAAAAAATCTTCTTTAAGGAACCTTTTGCTATCCCATTATTAATTGATCAATAGAAAAAAATTATCGACAGATTAATCGATTAGCAAAACACTGCATTATCAGTTGTAGCCCTAAAATGTAGGCTTTCTTTCTACACTAAATACATTTTGGATTTTTTTATCTTAAGATTCATATATTCCATTATGATGCTAAAAAAAGTTTATTCTATGTCTACCTTACAATTCTTTATCTGCAGTGCCAGTAACCATAGATAGAGATCTAAGCATTGACAAAAGTAGAACAGGCAAACATAATATTTTTGTAGCTTGTTAAACAAAATTCCCAAAGGTCTTGTGCTGTTATTTGTTTAAACATACTGTAAGAGTATTTAAAGTATTGGAAAGCAACTTTAAGATTAACCATTGATCTTTGGCCAGAATCATTTGGACGGGTTGTGTTGCAGGTGCTGGAGGTGCTGTGCTCACTGTGTGCGTGCCATGGCGTAGCCGTGCGCTCCAATCAGAACCTCATCTGTGACAACTTGCTGCCAGACAGAGATTTGCTACTTCAAACACGACTCACTAATCAGGTCACCAGGTACTCCAGACAGGTTTCCTTCAAATAAGACTTGATTTATAAGTGTTGTTTCAGTCCGTCCTTTGTCTGTGTGTTCTCTCCTGTTAACCCAGACCTGCCCTAAATTCCCCTACATTTAGACTTCTTTGAAGTTTTGTCAGTTTGTCTCATTTAAAGCTCACAAAACTAAAAGAGGATTTTAGCTATAACAATTTTTCAGTTAAAAAAGATGCATCTCGATAATAATCATATTAGTCTTTATTCTTTTTCTTTAAAAATTTTATATAATCACCCTTTCTTCATGGTATATTTGGTGCTTTTTAGCATGCCGAAGATTTCCTCATATTATAGAACCTTTTTTTTTAGGTTTATGTTCATCTTATTTTCTCTTGAACAGGACACTCTTACAGTAGAGGTTTGCATTTATTGAAATTTAATCTTGATTTTAATTTTGGCACTAAATCATCACAAGAACAAAGAGATAATTTTGCTACATTCTACTTTGCAAGCATAACTGGAATGTAAGTTCATTTGCAATTCAATGAGTTATTATAATTAACGATTGTAATGCTGATTATGTTTCTATAATTAAGTAGCCCTAGATCAGGTGTGTTTCAAGTGTTAATCCTAACCTATTACAGTGGGACATTGGTGTAGATATTTGCTCCCTGAGGTGGTATGAGTCATCTCAGTTACTCTTTGGACACTTTCAAATCAGTTTCATCATCTTTCATGTTTTTCCTGTTCTTCCTTTTAAATGCTTGACCTGCTGCACCAGTCTGATGTTGGGGAAAGTGTCCTTTTTTTCCCTTTTTCCTTTGAGTTATGTGACGTTTGAGTTTCCTCCTTTCCTTCGTATTTTCATCAGTCACTTGGGAGTTTTGTTTACAATTATTTTATATGTGATTATAATTTTTTTCTGAAAATATCTTTGTCTGTTATGTTCTGACTTCATCCTTTAACATTTTTATGAAGAAATATCTTAATTCATTTCAATTCAATAATACTTTACTAATCCCAAACGGAGATTCAGTATGGATTTGTATGAAAAAAGCAACTTTTTAGTTGTGTTAAAGCAATCTTTATATTTAAAAAAAAAAAATTAAAAGAGCTCAAATAGCTGTACAATTAGAATTTGAATGGCGCAGTTTGTCTTTGTCATTGAAATTTTAAACAGCTTTTATTGTCTTACGATTTTACACTAGATGAAGTTGAGTTTTTAATTGAAGTCAGATAATTGGAGAATTTCAGAAACTGTGTGACTGGCCTAAACATATATACTCTGACTCATGATTTTGTCTTGGTGCCTACAATTATCTATAGAAGATACCAACATAGCTATTTTTTACAAATTATATTTCAAAATACTCCTGCAACGAAAATAATTAAATGTTAGGTCCTGTTTTCAGTCAATTTAACTGTTTCATCCCCTGCATGAGCTTGATCTTTTTCACAAGAAAAAAATATATATAATTCAAATGCTGCTCTGCTTTTAAACAATGACTGCTAATTTACCTCCAGCTTGGAGGAATATGGACAACTTGTGGTGCTGAGGTAACACTTTAAGCTATACAATACTTACACTGACAGGTAGAAACAAACAGGAACCAGGGAGTAAAAAACAAGCATATGCAAAACAAATATATTCACATAGAAGTAGATGGTAGCCTCACAGAAACTTTCTTTTTATAGAAAAAAGAAACATTACATAATTTACTTTAACATGATTTGAGTTGAAGATATTTTAGATGGAAAAAATCTGCCTTTCTCATAACTGGGGAGAGGGCTACAGTACCATGAAGAAGGCAGAATAATAGAACTCAAAAGTGTTAAAATTCAAGCCAGCAATATAAATCTTAAGAATGTCATGTTGGTAGTGCTACTGGTACTTGTTACATGCACTTGAATTATGTATTTATGAATAAAAGTTTTTAAATAAATGCTCCTTATCTTTTGTCCTCCTTCTTGCACGACTCCACACAGCATGAGACCGAACATCTTCCTTGCTATGGGAGACACGTCAGCTCAGCACCGGAGGTGGTACTACGAGTTGGTCATAGATCAGGCTGAGCCATTTCTCACAGCTGAACCAACACACCTGCGTGTTGGCTGGGCCTTCACCAAAGGCTACCTGCCTAGGCCCACAGGAGGAGAAGGATGGGGGGGCAACGGAGTAGGAGATGATCTCTACTCGTTTGGTTTTGATGGGCTACACCTGTGGTCAGGTAAGGAGGAGATCAAACCTGAGACAGAGTTTTCATTTACAGTTCTGTAACATGTGCATCCAAGAGGGATAGGTTATCATTTGTAGGTTAATCTTGGTTGGTAATTGTTTTCAAAAAAGGAACTCATGTAGGTTTGGTATAAAAGTTAGGCTATTTTTGTAATTAAAAATCACTTAGGTTTGGATTTGGATTTCCCAATAAATAAAATAAAATTTAAAATCTATCTTATTGACCTAGTGGGTTGGAGCAGTACACATGTGCTCTGAGAAGGTTGCAAGTTCCCGGTTTGATCTCCACAGTCTGCACTCTGGGTCCCTGAGCAATACTCTTAACCTTTACTGCTCCCCGGGCGCTGCACAATGGCTGCCCACTACTCCCCAAGGAGATGGGTTAAATGCACAGAGTTAATTTCTCTAATGTGAGATCAATAAGGTTAAATTATTATTGATATATTGCAACTAGTGTTGTACCGATACCTATACCAGTATTGGGCAGGGCCCCGATTCAGCACTAAAATGGTGGTATCGGTATAGGCGAGTACCAACAAATAGGGCACAGATTCCATTTTGAGAGCCATAAATTTATTCAACTATTGTCACCCATTCCAGGTAGGCAATAAAAAGTTCTATTGGATTGACTTTGTATTAGTCTTTTTTCCTGCTTCACAAAGGTAGACAGCAGCTTGACAAAGCCATGATGGCATTTTTTTTTTTTACATCCAAGTAGTATGCAGTTCTTCATATATACACAAACACATCAATTTCAAACAGATGGTATCGGTATGGTATCGGCCAATACTGCACAGCCAGGAATCGGTTTGGGGGCCAAAGAAATGGCATCGGCCAACACTAATAGCAACACTTTAACAGTTTTATAGGAGGTTTGTCAAGATTAAAAGAGCATGGGAACTCAAATCAGCTTCTCAATGTCAGTTTGTGGTTTTGGGTATGGAGAGTAGTAGAGCTAGAAGACTTAAGAGGTTTAAATAGCAAATTTCCAACAGTTTCAGTTACATCCAGTATGACTAAATGTTAAAAGAAAGGCATCAGAGTTAAAAGGTGATGCTTTGGTGCTAAGCCATTCAGTAGTTTATTTTTTACATACTGTAAATACATTTCTAAGTGAATCACATAGTTCTTTTGATTTTTAGTCTTGCAGGATGTCAAAACCAAAGTCTAAGTCTCCCACAATAATTAGGTATTCTTAATCAGCAGCTATCATAAAAAAAAGGCCATTAAACTCATTTATAAAGTTTGTTTTGGACTTAGGAAGTCTGTAGATATTCAAGAACATGGCTCAAGCTGGGCTCGTTACCTGATGTGCCAAATATTCAAGAGTCCAAATTGCCCAGAAGTATTGTTTTACCCTTGGTGAATCAGTAAATGAAGAGGCCAGAACTCCACTTTTTCTTTGCTGTCTGCCCACAACTGTAGTTCAGAACTTTGTGTGAAAAAAATTGAACGATCCATAAAGCCAGTTTATGACTTAGTGGCTGATAACATCTCTGTTCCTGGCTGCACCTGGCAATTTATGGTGTTTAAATATGGTTGTTTATTACTATTTCCTTTCCGTTTATCTTTTTTTTTCAGCCACTTATTGGCACAGTTATTTTACAACTGGGCTGCACAGTTGAGCAGTTCATATCGTTGTTGCCTTGTAGCAAGAAGGTAAAGAATCGATCCAGACATGGGACCGGATGCTTTTGCATGAGGTTTGCTTGTTCTACCTGTGCTTACCTGGATTCTGTCCAGGTACTCCCACCAGTGCTTTTTACCTAGTGTTGGAAAGCATTAAAATTAGATTGATTGGTGACCCTTAATTGGCCTTAGGGGCGAGTGTGTAAGTGTCCATGGTTGTGTGTCTAGTTGTTGCTGTGTGACCTGGACTGCTGATCTGTAGAAGGTGTACTCTGACTGTTGGAGATTGGCACCAGCCCCCTGTGACCCAGGTGGATAGATATATGGATTTGATATTCTTGTATAATGCATTCCTTTCCTTTTTATTGCCTTGATCTTTTGTGGATTACCGTCATTGTAGACAGTAATCATCTCTGTCTGCTCAAAAGCAGACAGAGACAGAGTTTCTGATAATTTAGTATGAAATACATGACATTTCGTATATATTTCTTTAAAAAAATTATATCTTTAATTATTACAAAATTCTGTTATCAAAATGTAGAGGAAACGTAAATGGGGGGGGGCAATATCATCAAAACATGAGACAGATGACAGAATGTGATTGTTGTTGGGAGTGTTGGCCTAGTGGTTAGAGAAGTGCATTTGTGCTCTTAGAAGGATGCAAATACCTGATTTGATCCCCACAGCCTGCATTCTTGATCCTTGAACAAGACCCTCAACCCCACACTGCTCCCCGGGCAGTGAACAGTGGCAGCCCTCTGCTACCAAAGGGAATGGGTTAAATTTAGAGGTAAATTTCTCAAATTTGAGATCATTAAAGTTAAATTATTTTTTATTATTTTTTACTTTTTGGACTGAATTACACAAAGCATGCATCAGTGAGAGAAATCAGTAGTAATTCCAGAGAAGTGAGTGTTATGAGTGCAACTGCAATTTTTTTTGTCAGAAGTGATATTGGTTTATGAAACATTATCTGGCTGAGAAACAGGAACTGCAGCATAGAAGTGTTTATTGCCCATTAAAATTTATGCAAATGGCGCAATAATGGCTTGATATTATGTACATCTTCTGTTTCGTCTTTGTCAGCTGTATGACAGAAATGCTGCTTCATTTTCATCTAGCATTTTAAGTGACTTGTTTCTGCCTCCAATATTCAGGTTGTGTGGGCCGTAAAGTCAGTTCCCCCTTTTCTCACCTGCTGAAAGATAATGATGTAGTGAGTTGCTGTCTTGACCTCACGGTTCCATGCATCTCCTTTCGGGTCAATGGTCTGCCTGTACAGGGCATGTTAGAGAACTTCCATGCTAATGGACTTTTGTATCCTGTGGTCAGCTTCTCAGCTGGAGTCAGGTGAGCAGTGTTAAAGTAATTTAACTAATATATTTGCTTCTCTTTTGATCCTATTTAACATTATGTGTTTTCACGTTATGCCTTTATTATGATTCTTTGTTTATAATAAGGTCTCAAAACCTTTTAAAGCCACTGACTATAATACATTTTGTTTTGTTTGATGAAAATTTCTAAATCCTATCTTGTCCTTTTTCTGAAATCAGAGTTCGTTTTCTGTTCGGTGGGGTAAATGGGGAGTTTCGCTTCCTGCCCCCTCCCGGCTATGCTTCATGCTCTGAGGCTCTTCTCCCAAAAGTCAAGCTGAAGGTAGAGCCATGTCAGAAATACATCTCAGACTGTGAAGAGGGGAAAAAAGAGCTCTTTGGCCCGGCTGTGCCGATCACTCCAGTAACCTTTACTCCCACTCCAGTAGACATAAGCAAGGTAAGCTTTATTACACAAAAGCATATTTCTATCAAGATAAAATTGGACATCTTTTTACTGACAATATTGTAAACATTTGTATTTGTGCCAAATTTGAATAAGCTAATTTGCATGTAAGCTAATTACAGATCTGCTTCATGGGTTATAACACTGCATGTGAACAGTTTTTTAAGGTGCAGTGATTTACAACATACATATTTGATATTTTTTTATCATTATGAATGGGATGTTCATGTTCAAATTTAATTTTGACTTTTAAAATCCTCAATTTATTAAAATTATACATAACCGTTAGTTGTATATATATATATATATAAAACATACACGTTATAT